GGAGAAAGTTCACCCCATTCTCACAGGGGGAGGGGCACTGACCACGTGACAAGGAGACTGTGACTTTGAACAAGACTGTACACATCTCTGTGCAATGACGAAGGTCGTGTCTGGGGAGCCCCAATGGCACCGACGCGGCCCCCACCTCTGTGATCGCAGCCCGCGTGCCTTCTCGCCCCTGCAAGTGTCCCTCTGCGCTGAGTCGTGGCTGAGCCCCGGGCTGGCAGCTCCCGTGGCCGGGCCAGTGCGGTGGGTCAGGCCGTTCCTCAGGCTGCTGAGAACCCTCATGGAAAGAGGGTGGTCCCCGGGGAGGGGACCGAGTAATAGAATGCGGTTCCAGTAAGAACCGTGACCCAAGTTCATTAGCTTCATCTTCCAGATGCAAATAAAATGCGAGAAGAGCAATATACACCCAAAGAATGGGAGAGAACGGGGGAGGGAACTAGAGCTTCTAGAGACACAGGGCACGGCCCTGGGAGGGGGAGGCGAGGGTTCGCCACCCAGTCCTCCCGGAGGAGCTCCTGGGACCTTCAACCAAGACGCTCTGGTTCCTGTGTCGCTGCTTTTCTTAAAGGACAGACTCATCATTAGCAGGCAAACAGGTAAAGACATTTGATAGCCTCAGAAGGTACAGTCTACGCAGACAGGCAAATCCAGAGACTAGCATCCAATAAACAGAACAGGAAGGAGGAAGGAAGGATGGAGGGAGGCGGGAAGAGGGAGGAAGGAAGGAGGGAGGAAGGAAGGAGGGAGGAAGGAAGGAGGGAGGAAGGAAGGAGGGAGGAAGGAAGGGAAGAAGGAAAGAGGCATAAACAAACACAATTCTTGACAAAACTGTGCTTGTCTTTTCCTGTGAAATGAAGCCCCCCTCCACCCTGGGAGTTTTACCTTCTAGTTTTCCAGGGACCCACATGCCCAACCTGCACAAATACAAAACTAAACGCTAAGTGTACCTGCAAGGACATTCTCTAGTTTTGGCCTCACAGGGTACCCCATCCTCTCTCTGAATTTTGCCCATTAGCTTCAGAAAGTGTCTGCGTTTTCCGCCTTCTTCCCTTTTCCCTGGTCATAGTTGGGCCAGACTGGAGATAGACGCTGACACAGGCAAGCCCGACGCCACCTCCCAGGACACAGGCAAAGGCCCTTCCAGGGGCTTGGAGACATCTAGGCTCCAGTCACTGAGATGATTTCAGGCCCAGGGAGTTGGACCTGAAATCTGCCGAGCCACCATTTTTGAAACTCAGCAAATCAGAGATACTTTGGACAGCCTCCTTACTCTGGGGATAACTCGAGGTCACATGCAATGGCCAGAAAGCATCCAAGGACCACGGGTGGCACTTTAGATGTCTTACAGTAAGCTCAATTGCCCACAGGGTGAAGTCTAGAATTGCCAGCCGCCCCCGCCCATGAGCACACTGGCTTCCTGGAGATGATCTTCACTATCGCCAGTACCCCCAGGCCTTACCAACCATCCATGAGAATCCACCAGAAGCTGGAATCTGCAGTTCACCGATAGATATTTAGATACATCAATCCAATGTTAATATCGATCAAATACCCACTATGTGCCATGTATGATGACTCTCATGTGCTATCTTATTTCCCATCCCTGATAGTGTCTCACAACATCTCATCAGGCAGACGTCCTTGTTTCTACTGAGTAGTGGAGAAGCGGAGATTCATGAGGAGTTAAGCCGTTAGCTTTTCACTCCCAGTAGGAGACACGGAGAGGCAGGATTCAAACCTACGCTCATTCACTTGTTCCTCCCCAATAGTTACTGAGAACCTGCGATGATTATGAATGTAGTTTTATTTCCTTCCCCCAAACATTCCTACTTGTACTCCCTTCTTTGAAACATGAGAAGATTGAAGGCCACGAAGTAACTATCCCAATCAACTGAGTCACTTTCTAGCAGAACAAGTAATAGGACACAGATAACTCACTCCAGTTCATTTCTCACTGTTTTGTTAATGAATGCATCCATATTCTCTTGTTCACTGTGAATATATATAGTGAAAAAATTAGATATGAGTCTCATGAGTTGTTTTCAACCTTGATTCGACAACCTTAACAAATTCCTTCTATCTTAAAAAAGAATCTAAGAACCTCTCCAAATATTATTAAAGACCTGGGTGTGTTCACCCACACAGAATATTAACAGTAACATTCTGGTTATCAGAGTGAGTAAAGCTAGACTGTGCCGCTTCCATAAGTCTGTCTTTACGTTCATAGTAATATACATCACAGCAGCTATATGGAATATAACATAACTGCATGAATAATTTCTGTCCTTGGGGGGCTTGGTTGAGTTTTGTGGTTTTCTTCATATAGACCTTGTACATATTTCATTAGACTTATACATAATTATTTCATTTTGGACGGATGCTAATGTAAATGAGAATATCTTTTAGTTACAAATTCCATTTGTTTTCACATTTTTTCCTCGAGTTTAGCAGGAAAGATTTAAGCGTCTCACAATAGCGTAGTATTAGCTGTAGGGTTTTTGTAGATTTCCCTGGTCAATTTGAGGAAGTTCTCCTGGATTCTTAGTTTGTTGAGAGTTTTTATCATGAACGAGGTTTAGATTCTGTCAAATGCTTTCCTTGCATCTATTGATATGATCATGTGATTTTTCTTCTTTAGCCTGTTGATGCGGTGGATTGCATTAACTGACGTTCATGTTGATACTGCATACTTAGGATAAACCCCACTTGGTTGTGGTGTGTAACGGTACGCATTGTTGGATTTCACTTACTAACATTCTTTCTAGGATTTTTGCGCCCATGCTTATGAGAAAAATTGGTGTTTGTGTCTCTTGAAATGTCCTTGACTGATTTTAATGTTCATCTCTTTATTTTTAAATGACTTGGCTGCCTGAAAACACAGTCCATCTTAAAAACTCTATCATTTCTATGTTTTGTTTTTTGAAAGAGCGCACAAAATATGCAAGCTATTTTAAGCAACAAAATGACATTTAAAAATCCCTTATAGTTTACCTTCCAGTACAAGTTACCTTAAATACTTCTTCACCTTAACTGTAAAATCAATTGAAGCCAAATGTGAATGACAGTGCCTTATCGACAACATTATCTTCTGTCCGAAAAGTATTTCCTAGTTTTGCACATCTATCGCCTCATTTTATGTTCACAGGTGGGCTGGTATTACTATGACATCCCCTTGCAGATCAGGAAACAGTGGCTCTGTGACGATGCCTGGCTAGTGGTGAAATGAAGTTGAGTGTTCCAGCCCTTAGCCTAGGTCTTTCCGCCAGAAACACAAACTTTCCTCTATGGTCCTTTTTCTTGCCACGCCCCACCCTAGTTTTCCCACCTTATTCATTGCAGGCCTCCAACTAGAAGTCAGGCCTCATCCAGACCACAGAGCAAGAGACGTAGCTTCAACCTCCTTTCACTCCCTCCCTCCCACCTACCAAGCCACCCCCAATCCTCTAGTTGTGCAACTATTATTCCCGACACTAGCTGCGGGGAGAGAGGTGGGGGAGCTGGCCAGAGGCACTACGCATGTGTGTTCTATCCATCGCATTCCAGCACAGTGGCCTCAGGCCTTCTGTGTGATCAGAGACGACCACACCCCCTGCTCTTACCCATCCTGTAAGACCTAGAATTAGGGTGGGAGTCTGGGCATCTGGGAAACTGGGAGGGCCCCACTCTGCCCCCAGAGACACGGTACCCATCCAAACCACTGTCCTCGCCACGGGGACCAAACACAGCGCCCCTTCATCTCCCAGTGGTGGGATTCGCTTCCCTGCGAGCTCATAGTTACTCAGATGAGCCAGTTCCCTGCACCTCCCCTCCCCGCCCTGGGAATCGCCTCCTGACAGCATGGAACCTCCCCCCGCAGCCCCGTCTGTCCCACTGCGTGCAAATGCATAAGCTGTTATTCAGAGAAACGTGGGTCCCAAACGTGAACCGCCCCTCGAGTGCCATCTGGTCACCGTGGTGTCCTCCACTTTGGGACATTCCCCCTCACAAACTACCTCAATGCCTTCCATTTTCACATGTTCAGAAACCCGTTGACAGTTATTTTATTTAATTTTTAAAAACTTTTAATGTTTATTTTTGAGAGAGACACACAGAGTGTGAGTGGGGGAGGGGCAGAGAGAGGGGGTGACACAGATTCCGAAACAGGCTCCAGGCCCTGAGCTGTCAGCACAGAGCCCGATGTTGGGTTCCAACCCACGAACCGTGAGACCATAACCCGAGCCGAAGTCTGACACTTAACCAACTGAGCCACCCAGGCGCCCCCAGAGTTGGCAGTGATTTTAAATGTATGCATTTATTTGTAACAAGATACAGTTTTATATTGGTATTGACCCCATTTCTTTAGTGGAATAACTGAGGGAATGTCAAAATCTACACTGGGATTAAAATTCCAAAACTTTAGATGTACCTTCCTGCACCTAGATTTCCTTCCAGAAAGAGCTGGTTGGAAGGCAGCCATCTGGGATCTTCACCTGAAGGAATCTATCGATATGTCATGCTTCGTGTTGTGAAACGTTAGCCGATTTAGATACCAGCTGTTATGACAGGACCATACAAGTAAAACCTCCATGGTGTGTCCTGTATCCTTAGCCAGATCCCACATCCCTTGCTGTCCTTGGAGAAGACTGAGTTTAACCCAGGAGATGGCAGAAGAGACCAAATGTCCATGTCGTCTGAGGCCATTGGTGCTCAGGTGAAGCCTCCCTTAAAAAACGATGAAAATTTCATAGTAAATAGTGAAAAAAATAGTTCTATTGGTGTTTTATCTTAAAAACAAATGAAACCAAGTTATAGAAATAAATTTATTTTAATTAAAAATGTTAATGTTTATTTATTTTTGAAAGAGAGAGAGACTGTGAGCAGGGGAGGGGCAGAGAGAGAAGGAGACACAGAATCGGAAGCAGCTCCAGGGTATGAGCTGTCAGCACAGAGCCTGACGTGGGGCTTGAACTCACGAACTGTGAGATTACGACCTGAGCCGAAGTCGGAGGCTTCACTAACTGAGCCACTCAGGTGCCCCAGATTTATTATAATTTATTTTACACGGAATATAAGCTACACTCACAATTATGTGATGACCCCGAGACACCACACAAATCCCTCCAGTGTTCCTGCTTTCCTGGCACAATTTTCCCAACACGATATATCAGGACCAGGTGTCTTTCCATCTTCCACACTATCCTGCAAAATACCATTTTCGCAAAACTGGCGGAGGGCTGCCTCATACTTCCTTAATCACTGGGGCTGCAACTGTGTGTCTTGTGCTACTGTCCCATGTTCCTCAGCGGGGACGTTTCCGTGATTGCTCGCTGTGGTTAGAGACGTGTCCGTGGCCATGGGAGCGTCTGGGATGGTTCTCTGACATCGAGACCCCAAACTGTCCGTGAGGTTCACAGTCTTATTTGACCCTGACCTATGCAGGCCTCACGCGGGCAGATGAGGCCACCTCGTGTCCCCTGGACAGCCGCGCCCAGGGTACAGACCCTGCCTCCCGCCTTCGTCAGCTGTTGCGGGTTTGGTGGCAAAGCCCCCACAGGGGAGCCAGCAATAACCCCGACAGTTATCCTAGATTGAGCTGTGGCCCTCGGAAGCTGGCGAAGCCCCTGCACCTGTGCATGGACCGTACCTGGGAAGAGTCTGCCGATGGTCGAGTTGGATGGACCCCGAACCCAGTGAGACCGCGTCCTTACAACAAGGGCAAATCTGGGCATTCGGACCGACAGATGAGCACACAGGGAGAAGACCATGTGCACATGGGGACAGAGATGGGAGCAGCGTGTCCACAGGCCAAAGAGCACCAGGACAGGAAGCCACTCCGAGGTGGAGACGGGCCTCAGACCGAGCCAGTCCTGCAGACGCCTCGACCTCAGACTTGCGGCTGCAGAGCTGGGAGACAGCGGATCCTGCGGTTCGAGCGGCTCCGTGCGGGGAGCTTGGTCACAGCCGCCCCAGGAAGCCCCTAGGGAAGTGGAGGCCAGCGTCTGGGCTCCCCAGTCACCGGGCATCGCGGGGCCTCTGCAGGAGGGGCTCTGTCTCGCCACCTCCGGTTCCCGGTCCGCAGGACCACGCTCAACAATGCGCTGCAGACGAGACAAAGACTAAGTCACACAGGCAAGGAGAGGGCGGTCCGTTCAGAGAATGGAGAGATGAGGGCCCCCCAGGAACCCAAAGCCAACAGGAAAGCCAGAGGAAGGCAGAGAAGGCTCCTAGGTGGGGGTCCCCAGGGCCACAGGGAATGGGACACACGTCCCTGTCAGCTGGGGCACGTCTGTTAGAGACGGACACCCGCCTGCTGTGAATCTGCCTCTGTTCAGGTTCTCCCTCTGAAGAGAGTTGGGCGGTGGACTTCGGCGCGCCACACCCGTTAGAACCCAGCTATTTATAGGCGGGCCTTCACTTGAACGTCCTCAGACCAGTGGCCGTATCAGCTACCCCTGACCCCCTCTCCCTGCCGAGGAAAACATCTTCCTGCCTTCTTTGCTGGTATTCAGAAACCATCGACGTCACATACCAACCTCCCCGTCCCCCCCAAGAGGCAGGGAGCCAAGGGGCATGAGGTCACACGGCGTGGTGCTTGTTCACAGATCCGTATGCACCTGGAGGGGACCACACATGCTTCTTCTTGGCATTTTCACACTGACGTGCGTTCTTCAACACACACAGAGCAAGGAGCCCAGCCAGTCCTTCTGGACGGCCTCCACCTGCCTGCTCACACACGTCTGGGGCAAGGACCAGTATATTTGAGTGATTTCTTGTAGCTTTTTGTCTTACCCCACAAAGCTTCATTTATACAAACATCAACATGACATTTCAACAGTCTATGTCTCACTCTTATTCCCAGTTAGAATCTGTGAATTATTCCCTGTGAATTCTGCACTGTTCAACTCTGAACGCACGTTTGTCGCTCGTGCGGTGAACACAGGGCCCTTGCTGGGCCCGGGCAGTTTTTCAGGGCTCTGGAATGAATCCTTATATAGGATCCATTTTAAACCCTACGGCCGGTTGCTGAGTGCCAGCCAACATCTGGAACGGCGGAAGACGATCGGATAACATTGCGAAATATAAAACATGAAACTTATTAACTTTTTCCTGTGTTAAAAATATTTTTAAATAATGGGAGCAATCTGATAGCACGTTGAAAAAAAAAACGTTCCCACTCAGAAAACTAGAAAGAAAAAGAATCCAGTCATTTTCGGGTTTATTTCGTTTCTTTTTGCTTGAGTTGCACTTTTTCCAATTTTAGAACATCATTACCTTTGCAGAAATGGATTTTGCTTTAAAAGCATTCTCACACATTTGCCTCTTTGTAGGTACTAATGTCACACAGAGCCGCAGAAAAACAACAAGCCATAAATCAATGTATTAATGAGCAGAATAACTCAACGGGGAGAGGGCTCATTGTCATCCTCATCCTCCTCAGGTTCAGCTGTACGATGGGTGAGATTTTACAGTCTTCTGACAGCTCTACCGTGTGAGCCCCTCATACACAGGCAGAGCAGCTCGCCAGGAAATTGCTCCAGAGGCGGAGGAGCAGAAGGAAATTTAACCAGGCCTGTGACATCCCCCAAAGGTGGTATTTCACCATCCGTGGCGCTGCTAAAAAGTGGGCGGTGAAATGCAAATGACCCGCGCAGATGCGCCTCGGGATTGGCCGCCCGCTTCCCCGCCCACCATCTGAAACCCGAGTCCCGGCCATAAATATCCCCAAGTCAAACTCAAAGTGTAAAGCATCTCAGAAATGTTGCCTGCACACAATTTTACCCCAAGAAAGGGAATCTCCGGAAAGACAAAGGGACAATTTTGAGCAGACACAAATAGACTACAAACACGCTTTAATTAAATGATAAAAGATTAAATAAATCTGTAGCACAGAAACACTGAAAGTCTGTCTTCAGCAAACGCAATGAATCAGCAAATTGTTTTTTTTTACCCTAGCCTTCAGGTTTAGTGAAATTGAGCTATCATTCCAGATAACATTTTTTTGGCTTCCTAATGTTGCAAAAGCTTTAGAAAATTTAGAAGGCATTATTCCAGCCCTTGGAAGGCTATGCCTCCCTGGCATCTAACAGCTAGAAGGACCAAAATGAGAAGCCCATGCAAATATGTCGTTCTAAGTAGCAGAAAGTATCAAGATCACAGACCCCGGACTGGCTGGCCACCAGACACCCTGCAGATCCTGTTAGGAAGTTGCTGGTAAATAATCTCACCAACTCTCCACAGGAACCTTGCCAGATAGGTATGCTGGTGCCGGTTTCATGGATGCAGAAATGGAGGCTTAGAGAAGCTAAGTAAGTTCCCCAAAATAAAAGAGAAAGGAAAAGGCATAGCTAAAATTCTAACCCAACTGTCTTTAAATTCAACTGTAACAGTCTTCTCTAAAATGGTAAGTAATGACAAATTGCTTTTCCATTATTCAAAAAATAAAGTGCCACGATTATTTCTACCTTTAACAGAGAATTAAGCACAATAGGCACATTTTACCTTCCCCCATCCGAAATGGCAAGTGACTTGGCTGGAATGGCCCACAGGTGGGTCCTGCCTGTCACATTACTGTGTTCACCCACATGGTGTATAAGCATCGTGCTTTACGTTTCAGCACTGGGTGTTATAAGAGTCCTTTCAAGGTTTAGATGGCAAGTATGAGTCATTTTTTTTCATTTTGCAAATGAAGAAACCTAGGTTCAGACAAGTTAAATGACTCACCTGAGATCAGTCAGTAGGAACCTGAACTCCGATCACCAAACTCGAAATTCCACAATCTTGAAAGAAAATTAAAATCCAGGAAGCAACTCCTCAGTTATGTCCATCCTCAAAGGTTTCTCACAAATTCCTATTTTCTAAGGGTGTTTGGAAAGTATTCTGGGGAAAATATTCATGTGGTACTCTGGCTCCACAGAATAATTATTCTTACATAGTTATTCATCGTTTAAAAGGGCAGCATTCATCTTAGCAATGGACTTGGGGCCATGGACGCCTGACCATGAAGCCACAGTCTGAGGACCCTGAATCTGTCACCTGAGCGGGCTTCTCAGCTACACACGAGGAGAATTCTCCTTTCCTGCAAAATAAAGGGGGTTCAGCTACATTACTGACACCAGCTGATGCACTTTAAGAAGCGTGTCTGCCCGTGCACAAGTGTGTCTTCCCTGCACAAGCATGCCTACCCATGCACAAATTTGTCTGCTTGTGCACAAGCGTGTCCATCCATGCACAAGCTTGTCTGATGTGCACGAGTGTGTCTGCCCGTGCGCAAGTGCAAAGCAAGACATTATTGCTTCTGGTTACACTTACCAAGCGCAAGCACCTTCCTGGCTCTGGCGCACACCCGTCCTGCTTCAGGTGACCGCCCCCCTCTCCGCCTGGGACAGGATCTGAACCAGGTGCTTCACCGAGCTTGGTTCAGGGGACAGGAGGCTTTTCCAGCTGGAGGGCGGGGGCTGGTGTCGATGGGAGAAGGGCGGCTCGGAGCGGCCGTGGGTGAGGGGAATGGCTCCTCAGTCTGCTCTGACGGCATGACAAACACCGTGCGGCGCGTCACCTGCACAGCCGTCACTTACCTCTCACGGTGCTGGAGGCTGAAGTCCAAGACCGAGGTGCCAGCAGAGTGGTTTCTGGTGAAGCGTCTCCCCAGTACTTGAAGACACCCCACCTTGCCGCGCCCTCCAGTGGCCTATCTTTGCTGCGGGCAGCGGGGAGGGAAAGCCCAGCCCAGGCGTCCCCGCCCTGCTAGGGACATGGGTCTGGCCTGGTCACAGCCCGACTCCATAACCTCACTGTAGCCTTAATCACTAATCACGTCCCACCCCCAAGCCCACTCACGCTGCAGGTCAGGGCTTAGCTCGCGACGCTCGAGGACGCGGGCATTCGGTCCCCGGCGAGGGCGTCGAGAGCAGCTCAGGCTCTTAGCCAGCTGGCGGGAAGCAGGCCGCGGATGTCGGACAGGCTCTGGCGCCCGGAGGAACACTCGAGGGGCAGGGAGCACCACACCCAGGCGTCTCCCAGGAAGACCCCTCCCCGGGGGGGAGATGGCCGACACACAGGCTGTCGCCACAGGCTGCTGGGTGCAGGCTCCACGTTCCGGGGCTTACCCTTCCGGAACCCAATGTCTGGGCCCAGCAGGCTGCCCGAGCCACCAGGCCTGAGCCCCCCGGCATTGGCCCGGACCGCACCCGCTCAGCGCACACTTCCGGACAGGCCCCGGAAAACGGAAGTGAGCGGAACCCACAGGCTTCCGGTCACGTGTTCCATCCCCCGCGGGGTCGTGCTGGTCTGTAAGGGACGCCCCTTCTCCGTGACGCTCACACGTGCCGTCCGCTGTACGTCCTTCCCGGAAGGTGCCCGGGAAGGTGGGGGAGCGGCTTTCCGTGGCCCGGAGGGACTTTCCAGGAGCGCCAGAATGGAGCCAGCCCGCCCCGGCCGGCCGCCGCGGGCCCTCGCTCCGCACTCGCTCCGGAGCCCTGAGATGCCCCTTCAGCTCACTGTCCCCGGCGGGGAGCAGGACAGCAACACGCACCGAAGGACAGTGCGGAGCCACGAACACACCGTCTGTCGGGCGCAAACAAGATGTGACTCTGTTGACGTGGCTTTTCCATCCTGCGCAGGCGTCGGTTCTGACCGCGCACCCGGCACCCAGCGCCTCCTGCCTCCGTTCTGCCCCCGGGTGCTGCTGTGGCCGCTAGGACGGCGGGTGGGGACGGCGGGTGGGGACGGCCGGGAGCACACACCCGGGGGACACAACACACACACACACACACACACAGGAATCTTTTAAAATACCAGATTTTCATTTAACTGGGAGCTACCTTCAGAGTTTATTTTTCTACATTTTATAAAGTTGTAATTGAGAACTGTAGTAGAGAATTCAAAAACCACAAACAAAAGCACGAGGACATAATAAATATGCTAAATAGCTGGATATAAAGAGCTGAAGAAGGAATTAAAGAGTTAAAATAGAATATTGAGGCATTTTCCCAGAAGGTTACAGGAGAGGATGGAGAGAGAAAATATCAAAGAGAAGCATAAGGAAACGATGACAGAAACACCCAATGTCTGGACGATGGGAATCCCAGGAGGCGTGATCGATAAATCCAGAGCAGAGCAAATATTTGAAAAAACAAACGCAGATATATTTCCCAGAAAGAAAGAAAGAAAAAACTCGGAATTTTTTAAAAAGTAGGGGAGGAGAAGAAAAGCCCCACATGAAGACATATAGTAGTGAAATCCAAGACCATCAAATACAAAAAGAATATTCTAGAAGCTTCCATAAGTAATGAGCAGTTTATTTATGATGAACAAGACCCAGATTGTCATTAGACTTCTCAACAGCAGCACTCAGTGCAAGAGAACAGTGGAGCAATATTGTTAAATAATTAAAGGAAAATAGATTTGAACCTAGAATATTCTTTCTAGAAAAGCTGCCATTCAAATCTGAAGGCATAACAGAAGAAATCTCCCAAATAGGGCTCAGATGGTTTGCCACACAAAACCCACTTCTTGTGAGAAAACCCTTGGGGGAAAGTCTAAAAATAAGAGAACTAAATCCCTAAGAGATGGCTCTAAAAGACAGGAATTCAAAGGAGCCAAATATTTCGGTGACATTTATTCTTTGAGAGAATCCAGACTATACCCCGTGGGCGGATTCGACATCAAAGCCGGGAGCGCAACACTATGGGGCACGGAAGTGTGGCTACTTCCTCCTTTAACCAGGAGAAAAGCATAGACGTGGATAACCTTAAGAAATCAGTAAGGATAGACACACACAAGAACTTGTTTCAAGGTGAGAGGACAGCTATAAAAGCAGAAATGCCCCCACGTTCCAACCACCAAAAGACAACTGGACCCGTGCAATGAAAACCAGAAGCAAAACTAAAAGGAGGAAATAAGAGGTTCGGCAAATTAGAAATATAATATCAGAAGTGAGGTTTTTTTTTCACCTAATTAGTTTGAGAGAGAGAGCGAGCAGAGGGAGGGGCAGAGAGAGAATGAAACAGAGAATCTCAAGCAGGCTCCATGCTGTCAGTGCAGAGCCCAACACGGCTTGAACCCACAATGAGATCATGACCTGAGCTGAAATCAAGAGTCAGAGGCTTAACTTTGACTGAGCCACCCAGATGCCCCAGAAGTGAGTTTTTTCTATAAATAATTATGACAAATACAAATAGGTTAAATCTACTAATGAAAAGACAGATCTGGGGTCAAAAACAAGAGTGTAAAAGAAAAACACTGAGAACATAAAAGACAAATGAAAATAGAAGAGCTAGAATCTTAGACTAAGCAAATACGAACCTAACGAAAATTGTGTAGTAATCTGAATTTCTGACAAAATAGAACACAAAGCCAAACTACCATTAGAGCCAAAGGGTGACATCACACGCTGGTAGAAGACCAGAGAGAACCGGGAGCTAAATCCACAGTAAGTGTAAAAACAGCCGTGAGGGACAGGACCTCAGGGGGCAGTGATCAGTCAACAATCGTCAGTGAGACTGTAGAATTTCTTTTTCAAAAATGGACAGAGCAAAAAGATAAAATCTAAGCCTAGCTGTCAAAGATTCAAACAATGTCCTTAATCTGCTTGAGCTATCAGATAAAAAAAAAAAGAAGAAGAACCGTATTCCAAAGGAGGCACACAATACACATGTGCACATTTACAAAAATAGGTCGTGCGTTAGGCCAAAAATGGATTGATGTCATTCAGATTACGTTCCACAACACTGGGATAAAAAACACAGATTACTAACACAGCGATGGTTTTTTAAAAGTCCATATGTTGGAAACTAAAAAACATACCACTAAATAAATCTTGCAATAAAAAGACAAGTAATGTTGAAAACAGTGTGATAATAAAATCATTTCATAACAAAAAGCATGGGACATAATAAAAACAGTACTTAGGAGGGAAATGTATAGAATTTCTAGTCTTGAATACATTTAGGGGAAATAGAATTACATTTAGAAGTCATTTAGCCAATTGAAGGAGTTTCAGAAGGAAAGACCTAGAAAAAGTGCAGGAAAAAGGATATAATGAAAGTAAAGGCACGATGCAATGAAACAGAACAAAATGTTACAAGAGATTACCTGAGAAAACCAAATTATTGGAACAAATGAAGGAGAGATCGCTGGTAAGATGAACAGATGCAAATAACAGTTTCCGATGGGACAAGGAGAAGAGCTAAGGCACAGCATATTAAAAAGACTACTTTGGGGGAGCCTGGGGGGCTCAGTCGGTTGAGCATCCAACTTTGGTTCAGGTCATGATCTCATGGTTTGTGAGTTCAAACCCTGCATCGGGCTCTGTGCTGACAGCTCAGAGCCTGGAGCCTGCTTCAGATTCTGTGTCTCCCTCTCTCTCTGCCCCTCCCCTGCCTGTGCTCTGTCTCTCTCTCTCAAAAATAAACATGAAAAAATTCTTTTTAAAGACTACTTTGAACAATTTCTGCTAATAAATTTGAAAAGTAATATAAAATGGATGACTATTTGTATGGATGAAAAAATCTGAACCATGTAGGATGGCGGATGTTAACTAGACACCTGGAAATAATTAAATGTTACACGTCAATTATGTCTCAATAGAAGTATAAAAATTTTTTTAAGTGGAAAAAATTTTAAGTGAGGGAGTGTAAAGAAAAATGCCAAATTTCAAAATTTCACAGAAAGAGAGATGGAAAAGGAATAGACCAATATTGTTATTGAAACAATGTTCCTTCCAAAACTTCCCAGGTGCAGGTGGCTTCACAGGGAGTGCTTTCGAGCTTTTTCTTTCCTGCAGCTTTCATGTAATTTACATGTCATAAAGTTCACCCTTATTTAAGGTGCACCATTCAATTGCTTTAATTCATTTTTAGAGTTATGCAACAGTCACTGTAGCCTAAGTATAGAACATTCTTAGCACCCCAGAAGAAACCATTAGCAGTGACTTCTCATTTCCCTGTCCTACCTCACCTCCCTTTCCTCAGCCCTACACAAATAACCTATTTTATGCCTCCCTTGATTTGCCTATTCTAGGCATACCATGTAAATGGTATTATACCATGTGTAATCTTTTATGACTGGCTTCTCTAGCTTGGCATAAAGTGTTCAAGATTTGTGTACATTGTTGCATATATCAGCAAATCATTGTTTTACTGCTGTCAAACAATGTTCCGTCATATAGATATACCACATTTTGTTTGGCCATTCATTTCTTTGCTGGAAATTGGGTTGTTTCCACTTTGGGGCTATTGTGAGTAACACTGCTATGAATATTTGTGTACACATTTTTTGTGTGGACATATGTTTCGTTCTCTTGGGTATATACCTAGGAGTACAATAGCTTGACCATATGACAATCCTACATTTAACATGATTAGAAAGTAACAAGCTGTTTTTTAAAGTGGCCGCCATCTTATATCCCCACAGGCAATGTGTGTGCGTTTCAGTCTCTCCACAGCCTTGCCAACACCTGCTATTGTCTATCTTTTTGATCGTAGCCATTTTGGTGGGTATCATGTGCTATTCCACTATGGTTTTTATTTTCAGTTCTCTGGTGAGTTCAACTTCTTTTCAATTACTTATCGGTCATTTATATGTTTTCTTTGCAGAAATGCCTATTCACCTCCTTAGCTCATTTTTAAAGTTGTTTTTTTTTTTTTTGAGAGAGAGAGTGCACAGGGGAGGGGCAGAAAGAGAGCAAGGGAGAGAATCCCAAGCAAGCTTCTCTACACTGTCAGCCCCCACACAGGGTTCGATCCCATAAACCATGAGATCATGATCTGAGATATAATCAAAAGTCCAATGCTTACCCGACTAAGCCACCCAGAAGCCCCCTAATTTTTAAATTGGGTTATTTGCCTTTTTTATTTTTTGAATTGTAAGTGCTCTTATATATTTTGGATGCAATCCTCTTATCAGGTGTATAGTTTACCAATATTGTCTCCGAGTCCATATGTTGTCTTTCACTTTCTTCATGGTGTCTTTTGAAGCACAGATGCTTATACAATTGATCCAACTTATCATCTCTCTTTGATCACTTATGATTTTGGTTTTGTAGCTAAGAACTCATTGCTTAACCCCATATCACAAAGATTTATTGCTATATTTTCTCTGAAGACTCTTAGAGCTTTAGCTGTTACACTTAGGTCTAGGGCCCACTTTGAGTTGATTTTTCTGTATGGTGTGAGATACGGGTCTAATTTTGTTCTCTTGCATGTGGATACCCATTTGCACCAGCACCA